ACTCTTTGCTTCTAACGACATTTTCCTGTTTCTTAATACTTTGTTTAGCTTTTGTAAGGCACTTGCGCTATCACAACGCATCTTCAGATTTCGGTGTCACCTTCTCCATACTCTTTTAAAACACTCCCTAGATATTTAAATAGCTGTTCTTTCTTGATTTTAGTACATCAAATATGTAATTTGTATATTGCACTGTTATTTTTTTATTTTTATTTTTTTAACTATGCATTCTGTCTTCTTACAATTGATGCTTAGTCCTTTATTCCAGCTTTCCTTCATTATTTTCTGTAGGAGTTCTTGTAGTTTCCTTTCTGGATCTGCTATCAACACTGAGTCATTTGCATAACTTATGTTGTTAAGATTGTGGCCACCAATAATAAATCCTGGTAGGACTTCTAGTTCTCTCAGAATTGTTCACATGAAATGAAAATAATTCTGAACGGCCACTCTTCCGGTTACTTTCGAATTAATGCAGGTGCCCCCCCCGGCTCCATCTTTGGTCCTACTTTGTTTTGTTTTAAATTTTCATTAATGACCTTCCTGATGGCATCAGCTCTCAACTTGATATCTACGCTGATGACATTACCATTTATTGCTGTCCGAATAGTATGTTTGATATTGTCAAAAATGGCAGCTTATATCCAAAACGACCTTCAGTCTGTTGTTAACTGGGGCAAAGAATAGCTTGTTAATTTTAACGCCTCCAAACCTATACTAATCATCTGAGAGAATCCTCTATGCCTTCCATCAGTATGGCTGATGCTAACCTTCAGAAGAATGACTCGCTGCACCTTCTCGAGCTAATGTTCTCGGTTGACATGAAGTGGAAAGACTATACTGAATCCATTGCTAGGTCAGCTGTCAAGAAAGTTGGTTCACTGTGTCGTGCAAAACGATTTTTCTCTCCAAAATCTATCTTACATATCTATAAGTGTACCATTCATCCATGCTTAGAATATTGCTGTCATATATGATCCAGTGAACCTGCTATATATTTAGATGTTCTTGATGAAATCCAAAGGAGAATCTGCAATATTATTGGTCCTGATCTGGTGGCTCGGCTTAAGTCACTTTCATCTGCCGTAAGCTTGTCTCTCTGTGTCTTTTCTATAAATCCTTTCATGGTATTTGTTCGGGTGAGCTCTTCGCTATGGAGATTCTGAGGTATTATGATGGATGAAGTAAGAATGGTAAGTAAGAATGCGTTGTTTTGGTGTAAGGAATACTGTGGTATGTTTGGGTCATTGATTGTGGCTAGCTAAATTTAAATTTAAGACAGACAGAAAAAGACCGCCCTTTTCTACCATTCACCATTTTGGCCTTGTTACCACATTTTGTATTATCATACAAATAAATATTTCTCTTCGCTAGGGTACCTAGACTTTTTATTTTATTTTAAGCGCAATACTAGACTGGAGTCGAGATCTCATCAATTTACAGTTGAGCTAGCTAGATGTAGCCGTAAGTTCTGTGTTAATAGTTTCTTTTCTCGCACTTCTCGGTTGCGGAACTCTTTTCTGGTTCCATGTTTTCCAACCAATTTTAATCTGCAAAAAATTTAAATGCAATGCCAATCGCTATCTGCTGTTCTCCTAATTACCCTTCCTCTGTTCTCGTGCCTCAGTAATGTTCCTGTTTCTAACTCTTCCACGCCAAGTAACCCCTTGTGTTTTAGTGGATTTACTACTTTGCTTGGGGTGAACTCGATTAAAAATAAAAAAAAATGTCCGTTAAAACGACACATCTTTGTCTAACACCCTTTCTATTTTTGTATATTTACTGAATCCATTTTCTATCTATGTGAAGGTAGTTTGATCCCAGTCGAAGTCCTGGATTATTTTAATATCCTTCCCAAATTTGTCAAGGTTATCAAAACTTCCAACAGTTCGTTTGGACTTACTTTACCAAATGTTTTTTTTTTTTCAGACAACATTTCCTCGGTTTCAGATTAAAGAGACTCATATGGCTACAATGGTCGTTCGAGGGTTAGGGAAGAAAGACGCTCTAGTTCAGGAGACAATTCGATATTAATTAAATAATTCTGATTCCACTGCTACTTTGTGGAAGAGGCTCCCGCGTGGATGCTTCCGTAAAATAACAATCTTAACCGTATCTTCCTTGTCCTCATAATCGTCCCTACCTACCACCTTTTTCATTCATGTTGCACATCACACAAATGCTCGTTAAGCGCATTAGTTTACTAAAAATCTTAAAACTTTTTTAGTGTTAGTTTTTCAACTGAAGTCCTCTGCGTTTAGTGGCTCTTGGGCCTTCTAATGGATAACATTTAGTATTAAAAACACCTACCTTAACTTTTCTTATTACGCCTAAAATCAATTTAATGTAATTTACAAATTAAGGAACGTCTAAAAAATATAAGAGAAGAGTTGTTGTGGTCAACGGACTCACCGACTGAACTAATGAATAGTTCTTGAATTGAAAGTTTCAGTTTAGAAATCGAAGAACGTTCCTCTATATTCATTTTATTCTAATCGTGAGGTAATCAATAAAACCAGTCACGACTGCGAAATCAATCAGTTCATAAAAGTAAATATAATCAACGAAAAAGGGCGATGGACATTCGATGGAAAGAAAATCGAATCACTTTAATCAATTGTTTTCTTTGCCAAAGTAGCGAAAATTAATTGATATAAATTTTGGGAAATTATCAAGTTCTACACATTAGTGCAGACTGAAAACAGTTTCAGATGGGCAATTTAAAATAATTTATTTTACTGCATTTGAAAGCGTCACTTAAGGTGAAAGATAAATCCCTCTCATATTTACATCAATTTCAAAATTCCCAGGGATAATTGATAAATAATATTTTGAATCCTAGAAAAAAAAAAATTATTTCTCTTCGCAATTACGCGTGTTAAATGATGAGTAAGGTCTCCCGTCTTATAAGACAAGTTTGAGACCAGATAGAATAATGAAACTGGTATCAAAATGTAGGAAATTTATTTCTCTTCCGAATTACGAGGTTTAATTGATAAGTAAGGTCTCCCGTCTTAAAATATTTGGAAGAAAGAATCAGAAAACTCAAAGTTTATGAGATGGGAAAAACAGAATGTATAGGGGGTATGCTAGGATGTATGAATGGTAATGGTAATATATATATATATATATATATATATATATATATATATATATAGAGAGAGAGAGAGAGAGAGAGAGACAGAGAGAGGGAGTATTAAAGATATGATTTTCTGAACCTATGGGGATATGGCACGCAGTTTCAAGCTCCCAAAAAACCACGGATTGAGTTTAACTGTAAAAACGTATATATATATATATATATATAATTCGCAATTATTTCTTTTATTTAATTTATTATAAAAGTCCCGTAAAAATTTTAAGGTTTCTCTATTCTAATATTTTAATGAATCTTAATTCTTAAGTTAATGATTGAGTAAGCAGTTATAAGACAGATATCACAGCAATACAGCATTTTTGGTTTAATCTGCCTCTTGTAAAAGTAAAATAAAGCCGAAGGTGTCAGGAACTTTCTGGAGCTCTAGCCCAGATATGGCCGAAATACACCATTTTTCGTTTAATCTGACTCTTTTAAAGATAAAGAATGACAGAAGGAATTCAGGTATTTCTGGAGTGAGGAAAAAAAAAAAAAAAGCCGACGCCATTTTCTGCATCTCTAGACCTTTCAAAATAGTGCCTTTGTCCTTTGATAAATTGAATTGGGCGGGAATAATTTTTTTTAAACAATTTTAAAAAAAATTGTTATTAAGTAAAACTATATTAACAAATGACGTCACACATTATGAAATGGACAAAATCCGACAATTATTTTAATTTTTTATGTTTATACATTCTTCTTATAGATACAAATAATTGTTTACATTTGATACGCCATGAGCAGATATGAATGTACGTGCGAGAATCATGGAAGATTGTAGTTTAAAGACAGGTGACAAATATTTTCTATGAAAATTTCTCGGACATTCAGGCCGGTAAATGTTGTTTAATTCTTTTTATTACAAACAGAGCATTTACTTAAATATTTATATCTATAAAAAGAATGTATAAACATAAAAATTTCTTAAAATAATTGTCGGACTTTGTCCATTTCATAATATGTGACATCATTTGTTTGCATTTGGATACGCCATGAGCAGATATGAATGTACGTGAGAGAATCATGAAAGATTGTAGTTTAAAGACAGTAAAATCGACCGTGCTAAACGAACGCTCCTCTGTAGGAAAATCGGTTAAAGGCACGTCAGGCTATATGACGGTTCCGTGTAGGATACAGGTTCGATTCCTGTCGGATGACAAATATTTTCTATGAAAATTTCTCGGACATTCAGGCCGGTAAATGTCGTTTATTAAAAACAAAGCTTTTACTGAAATATTTGTATCTATAAAAACAATGTATAAACATAAAAATGTTTCTTCATATATATATATATATATATATATATATATATATATATATATATATTGATATGAAGGACAATATTGTGGGAAAAGTTTTTATTTTTGTGACGCGTTTCGTCCTTTATGACTTCATTGGATTAAATTTGTTATGTTGGTGTGACTACCCATGCGCACGAACGAGGTTTGATAGGAATTTTAAATTAATCTAAATGAAATCGGCCGGATTATATACATAGAAATATCCCTAATTCGTGCGCATGTAACTAATTTAGTCTGATTAAACGTTACATGACGAAACTCCCTTCATGAAAAACTTTTTTACCATTTGTCATACATTTTTCCCCAATATATATATATATATATATATGTGTGTGTGTGTGTGTGTGTGTGTGTGTGTGTGTTCTATTCAGTTCCGAAATGAGAGAGAACATAATCAGAAAAAGTAGAGACATCCATCTTGTCAGTGCTAAAATTGTGTAGCGGGAAGTCATCTAAATCTCTGTTCTTAATCGAAGACTTCCTCCGGGCCAAGGAAGAGGTTGAAAGGATGATGAGCCTATATATCAAATAATCGCGACATTTTCGAGTCGACAGAGAAAAATATTTCAAAGAAAAAGAAAGAAAAGAATTGAGCCGAAAATTGTTTTGGGAAAATAAAAAAAGAAAGAAAAAAAGAAAGAAAGAAAAAGAGAAAGACAGAAAGAAAGAATGAAAAATGAAAGAAAGAAAGAAAAGAAAAGAAAGAAAGAAAGAAAGAAAGAATAGGTAATATAATAAAGGGACACTAGGAGAAGAGCAGAATAAAGAAAATAGCAGAAATAGGAGAATAAAGAGAGAAAGAAGGAATAAGAAAAAGAAAGAGAGAAAGAGGAAAATAGGCATATAAAGAAAAGAATAACAGAATAAAGGAAGAAAGAAAAAACTGGATTAAGAAAGAAAGAAAGAAAAAACTGGATTAAGAAAGAAAGAAAGAAAGAAAAAACTGGATTAAGAAAGAAAGAAAGAAAAAACGAGAAAGAAAGAGCAACAAGTATAGGGTGTGATGGATAAATTGTCGCCATTTTATATTTTTAATTTCGCGCATGCTCATCGTTTGTTCTTAATTTTGTCGACTGTATAGTATAGTAGGGTCTGCTGTGCACCGTCTTTGAGAAAAATACCACCATAATGCAATCACTCCGCCAGAAATTTGGAAACAGCGTGCTGTAATGTTGGCATTCGCGCCGGAAGCTCCAATACGAACATTTCAGAGGGTTTGGGAGCCAATCTGAGGAGAATGTAGTTGATTCGGATGAGTTTAATGTTAATATTGATAATGTGTTTGGAATCTGTCTATATTTCTGAGATGAGGTATTATGTACACTATTTAAATTATTCGGACTATTGTCCTCATTTTTGTAGCCATATTTATTACAACGTTTCGGCCGATGTACGCTCCGGCCTTTTTCAGGTGGTTGGAATGTCGAACTTAACCATTTATTTCGCTCACTGGAGTAGACTGTTCTAGTTCCCCGTGCTATGTCTAATGGATGTCAGTTATTAGTTATCTCCTGTTAATTCCCCTCTCCAAGTTCTCCACTGCCTTAACCGGGTATTGAACTCTTTGGGCCCTGTCACTGGATCTAAAGTTTTTATCCACTGATAATGTGTTTGGAGTGATCACTAGTGATGGCGACGTTATACCTCCATTCACCTTCCCACAGAGCTTAAGACTCAACACGGAGGCCTACATCAAATGCCTTGAGGAGGTAGTGCCGCCCTGGGGCAAGATGACGGTTGCTGGAAGACCCTATGTCTGGCAACAGGACTCTGCATAATGCCACACAAGCAGGAGAACCCAGTCAGGACCATAAGACAATTTCTACGGCAACATCACCCCTTATATCTGGCCACCTAACTCCCCAGACTGCGACCCCCACCCTTGATTATTATGTTTGGGGCGAAGTTGACCAACAAAACTCTTTGTAACACCAAAGATGAACTGAAGGTAATGAATTATTGCAGCATTTACCAGCCGTCTAGAAGAGATGCAGAAGATACGGAAGTCGTCTGGTGGCCGTGGTTGAAGCCAATGGCGATTTTATTGGATAAATTTACTCTTTTGTATTTCAAGATATTTTTGTGTAATTTTGGTAAATATATCTGCTAAAATGAGACGTCAGTGTTATTTTCATTTTTGCGTCATTTAGACGACAATTTATCCATCGCACTCTGTAAGTGGTGAAAACTAGAAGAAAAAAAAATATAAAGAAATAAAGAACAGATAAAGAATGAATAAAAATTAAGTTAAGAATGAAAGAAGGAAATTGATGAAAGAACAATAATTAAATAAATAAAAAAAGAGTAGAAGAAGGAAGGAAAGAAAGAAAGAAAGAAAGAAAGAAAGAAAGAAAGAAAGAAAGAAAGAAAAGAAAAGAAAGGAAGAATAAGTGAATAAAAAGGAAAGTAAGACAGGAAAAGAATAAGGGAAAAAGAATAGGGGTATTAAGAAAGAATAAGCGAATAAAAAAGAAAGAAAAATAGAAGAAAAAATGAATGAATAAATCGAAGAAAAAAGAAAGAATAAGTGAATAAAAATGAAAGAATTATATAAAGAATGAGCGAAAAAGAATAGATGAATAAAGAAGGAATAAGCGAATAAAAAAGAAAGAAAATAGAACAAAAAATGTACGAATGAATCGAAGAAAAAAGGAATAAGTGAATAAAAATGAAAGTAAAAATTATATAAAGAATGAGCGAAAAAATGGCTGAATAAAGAAAGAATAAGCGAATTAAAAAGAATAAAGAAAGAATAAGCGAATTAAAAAGAATAAAGAAAGAATAAGCGAATTAAAAAAAACTAATAAAGAAAGAATAAAGCGAATTAAAAAAAAAAAAATGAAAGAATAAGCGAATTAAAAAGAATAAAAAAAAAGAATAAGCGAATTAAAAAGAATAAAGAAAGAATAAGCGAATTAAAAAGAATAAAGAAAGAATAAGCGAATTAAAAAGAATAAAGAAAGAATAAGCGAATTAAAAAGAATAAAGAAAGAATAAGCGAATTAAAAAGAATAAAGAAAGAATAAGCGAATTAAAAAGAATAAAGAAAGAATAAGCGAATTAAAAAGAAAGAAAAAAAGAAAGAATGAAAAAAAATGGTGAAAAGAAAAAAAGAATAAGAATAAAAATGAAAGTGATTAAAAGAATACGCAAAATCGAATAAAGAAAAAGCGAAAAATAAGAGTGAATGAAGAAAAGAGTTTTTTTTTACAAGAAAAATAGAACATAGGAAGAAAGAAATAAAGAATGAAAAGCGAAAATTAGGTGAAGAAGGAAATAATTTGCTTCTGTTGCATCGGGGAAATTATTGTGTGAACCGGAAGGAAGTTGGAAGTTTGCATCAATAGGAGAACTTCCTAACGATATTACTACATCGTTAATGGAAGACATGAGAAAAAGTAAGAAAATTTTTCCACTCAGCGAGATAAAATCTTCGACTGAAATTTCGGTTTTACAACATCAGTAGAAAAAACGTGTTCCTCTAAAAGGCTTATAAAAAAGATAGATAATCGATATTACTTACCAATTGTCAAGCTTAATATGGTTGTTTAACAGACGAGACGAACAAAGCCAAAATCACAGTTTACGTGTTCAGCACTGTATAACTCTCTCTCTATATATATATATATATATATATATATATATATATATATATATATATATATATATATATATGGGAGAGATTATAGTTGTTCCAACGAGAGAAAAGTGTATATTTTAAAGAGAAAAGAGAAGACGCAAACGTTTTTGGTTATATGGATTTTTTTAAAAATATATTATACTTTATTTTTACGTAGTTTTTGCTACTTTGGCTGTCCAAGAAGAATTTGGATTACTACTAACCACAAAAGACAATGGGTAAACATAACAAAATTTAATCATTTTAAATAATGTGTGAAAATAAACATTTTCGGCTGATGAAGTTCACAAGACCCGAAACGTGTAGCAAAAAATATAGAAAATAAAGTAAAATATACAAGATAAAAATCCACGTTATACCCCAAAACGTTTGCGGATTCTCTTTTCTCTCTCTCTCTCTCTTTCTCTCTCTCTCTCTCTCTCTCTCTCTATATATATATATATATATATATATATATATATATATATATATAAAGAAAGAACAGTAAGATATCTAATCCGGTGTTCTTATAGATATTTTTATTTTTACAAAATAATGCTCGATGTAAATTTACAGAGCATTAATATTATAAATTAATTGATTTAAAATATGGTTTTTTCGCTACACAATTCTAACCATGTTTCAAAAATGGAAGCTAAATGCCCCGAATTTAATTTTGTAATTCAATTAAAGACATTAGTTCCATTTCATCCTCAAGCGAATTCCAGACCGAAGGCAGACGAGTCATCCAACCCTTGTTGCTGTTTATTGTCACGTTGCTGAGACAGGATCCGTGGCATCACACACTATGGATCGCTGAAGACTGAGATCAATTCATACGCCTCACCACGAAGAATATATTCTACAGGCTGTTAGAGAAGATCCAGGTATCAGCACACGTCAAGTGGGCTTAACATGTCGTACATCTTATAGTACCGCATGGAGGTTACTTCAAGAGAAGGTCCCGTATCCGTATCATTTGCAATGTGTGCAGGGTCTTTCGCCCTCTGATCGCTCACCACAGGAGAACCTTTACGGATGGTTTATTGGACAAACTGCCGATCCGTTGTTTTTCTCTTCTGTCTTATTGATGGAGTAACAGATTTACGCAACCGACATTTGTTGGTGCATCGAGCGTCGGTTTACGATTATTGTTTGGCAGGAATTCTAGGTGTCTCTCTGGTAGGTCCAGACGTTCTAGAAGCACGTCTTCAAAGATCTGTTTACAGGGACTTTATTTAAAACACATTCCAGACATTCTATAATACAAATACAAATACAAATGTGGTTTATGCATGACGGGGTTCCAGCGCATTTTAGTTCCATTGTTTGCAATGCACTGGTTGGCATCTGCCATAAATGATGGATAAGTAGGGGAGGACAGGTTCCATGGCCGGTACATTCTCCCGGCTTCAATCGTTCGGAGTTTTATCTGTGTGGGTCCATCTAAAACAATTGGTTTATGCAGCAGGCATTAATAATGTAGAGCTACTTCATCAACGTGTCGTCGTGGCTTGCGAAACCATTCGACAAGGTGTGGGAGTATTTGAGAGGGTCCGCCAGTCAATGATCTGACGGGTGCATGCGCGTGTAAATGAAAGCTAAGCACATTTTGTACATTTGTTATGAGTTACTGTGTTGAGGTACAACGATGGCCTTTTGGAAATATGTTTATATGGACATTTTACCGTGTTTTGGTGTCAGGAAACTCTCCCAAAGTTTGTAAAAATTATATTTGATAACCCCACCTCTCTCTCTCTCTCTCTCTCTCTCTCTCTCTATATATATATATATATATATATATATATATATATATATGATATGATAAAAAACAAATAGGAAGCGTTTATGAATCTGAGAGGTTTCACTCTTACTAAAGCTTCATCAGAGAGATAGAGATAGATAGAGATAGATAGATAGATAGATAGAGAGAGAGAGAGAGAGAGAGATATGGAGAAAGAGAAGAAAGCTATTCTGGTATTATTATAGTTTGATTTTATTGGTTAATCAGTTTTCACATGCATTCGACTTGTTAAACAAATGTTAGTAATTCAAGGAGAGACGCGTCGTCCTTCGAAGCTCCTAGCAATTAACAGATTCCAAGCCCCACTGAAAACCATATATATATATATATATATATATATATATATATATATATATATATATATATATATATTATATTTTTTGTATGTACAGTGTGCGATGGGTAAATTGTCGACAATTGATATTTTTAATTTTGCGCAAGCGCCTTGTTTGTTTTTGTCAACTGCACAGTATCGTGGGGTCAGTTGGGCACCGTCTGTGAGAAAAAGAGCACCGGCAGGCGCAATTCACGACGCCAGAACTTTAAAAACGGCATACTGTACTGCTTGGCATTCGCGCCGGAAGCTCAAATACGAACATTTCAGAGTGTTTGGGTGTCAAGGACAGTGCAGAGGAAAACTCACTCTGATCATTCTAATAAGAAAAAGAAATCCCGAATTTGTTGATGAGGGCATCAGGCTCAACACGGCGCCTACATCAAATGACTTGAGGAGGTAGTGCTGCCCGAGGTCAAGAGGGTGGCTGCTGGAAGTCCTTATGTCAGGCAACAGGACATTGCACAAAAGCAGGAGAGCCCAGCAATGGCTGTCAGTCAATTTCTGCGACTAATTCGCTCCTTACATCTGGCCACCTAACTCCCCAGACTTCAACGCCCTTGAGTATTATGTGTGTGTCGAGAGACCGACAAAACTCCTTGTAACACCAAAGATAAACTCAAGGCAAGGATTTTAGTAGCATTTATCAAGTTAAACAAGATGATTGTCCCGAAGAAATCGTCTGAAGGCCGGGGTTGACGCCAATGACGATTTTAATGAATAAATTTACTCTTTAGTATTTCAAGATATTTTTTTGTGTAATTTTGGTAAATATATCTGTTAAAATGAGATGTCAGTGTTAATTTCATCTACTAAAGCCTGTATATAAATCTACATAGTCAGTTAAATAAAAACGTACTTGCTAGTTGCTAATGAATTTGTCGGAGTTAGCACCTCCTTAGCTAATTAACCCTTCAACAGGGGTCTCTCTCCCCTGGCTATAAATACTAGCTGACCCTTCGCATCGACCTCTTTTTCCTCAGGCTTTCAGCCTTACCACCTCGCAGATGTGAATGCTCACAGATACAGCGATTCCCAAATGCTGGGAACACGCTAAGAACAATACACGTACGTACGAACACTCACCACAACACACAGACACATAATATTCACCACACGCATTCTGTCCATGTAACTATCCATGTAACTTGTAACCTTTCTTGTTATCAATACATATATTTGTAGTGGGCCCGTGGCGGTTACGGTTTGTTGGGGGTTCATGGCGTGGCTGTTATGTTGTTGATAGAAGTCAGACGTAGAAGAAACGCAAGGTTCAGATACTCCTGCCCGCCGAGCCCAACTACATAAAAAGGTTGGACTTTGATTAAGTCCAAAGAAGAAGGAAAAGAAAGCAAACAAAACAAGACCGATAATATATGTATATACAAATATATATTAATAACAAGTTACAATACATGGAAACAGTACAAAGGACGAAGTGTGTGTGAATATTCTGTATGTGCGTGCGTGTGTGAATATTCTGTGTGTGCGTGTGTGTATATTGTGCTTAGCGTGTTTCCACGCTATTCCTTGTTAGCGACTACATTTCGAGGTTGATAGTTGAAATCCTCTAGGAATAAGAGAAATTTACCTCGAGGTGTCAGTGCACAGGCCTGAAAGGAAAAAAGAGATCGAGGCGAAGGGTCATTGGCTATTTATAGCCAGGAAAGAGAGACCCCTGGTGAAAGGGTTACGAACTGAAGGAGGAGTTAACTCCGACATATTTGTTTACATATATTTATTGGTCTTGTGTTTGTTTTTCTTTGCCTTCATTGGACTTAAAGTCCAACTTTCTCATGTAGTTGGATCGGCTAGCAGGAAAATTTCTATCCACGTGTGTTTTACATACTCATCGCCGACACGGTCCGCTACAAATTCGTCGAAAACACTTAGAGCCACGGAATATTTCCACAGTTTTTGCACACTAAGTCCCCCACCCAAAATAAAATAATTTTATGAATGCAATAAAAGTTAATAAAGTGTTCATCGTCTTTAATGAGATTTGCATAAAAGAAGCGTACTGTATATATATTAAACGTATCATGCAACTTTTGAAGACCTAATTGTGAACTTAATTTTAAGGGGATCGCATTATATATGATATATAAAATGAACGTATCTGCCGCTGGCCCGGGCGCTATTTTTTGTAAATTGGGGATTCGTAGCCCAAACCAAGCCATTTTCCGGCAGGGAGTGGGCACGCAACCTGTGTCTATCCGAAAAGAGATTCACAAAGTTAGTCTATTTAACGAACTCATGACAGCCTGTAAGCATACAAAATCATTTCTCTTAAAATATTGGAAACCAGGCTAATTCCCTTTTTATTATATTCTCCTTTTTTTTTAAATTTTCCTTTTATTTAGCTTTATGTCCCTTATCGCTTACCTTCTTTTATCCTGTCGTCGTTAATATATTAAATCGAGAGCATCGTTCCCCGCTATGGCTTTAAATTTGAAACTTTTAAACGTACATCCTTTTTTTTTTTTTTTTGAAAATAAACACGACCTGCAATTCATGTTCTACAATTTTGCACTGTTTTATTTTGGGACTACAAAACAGCGTCTGTCCCATATGTCATCTGTGTATTTTTATTTTGTGCCCGATGAGCTGGAAAACCAGCGAAACTTAAGCCGCACACCTAAACGTAGGTATTTTTTATATGTACCTTCATTAATATATATCTTTGCTCTGTTTAACCACATCGAGCACGGTTACAATCTGAATTAAGATACCATTATGTAAATGATCATTTTCACCTTGTAAAATTAAATTTAAGGGATTTTTCAAACAGTCAGTTGAACATGAAATTGAGGCGAAAATAATTGTTCAGAATTCAAGCTCAAAATTCAAAGAAAAAAACCCTACAAAACGAGTAAAAGTAAGTAAAGTACTCAATGCACCAAGTAGATCAAACCTAATATAAACCAAAAATGCCAGGTAAACCCACCAACGTTTCACCTAAACAGATCGTCAGGGTAAAACTGGCCCCCGTTTAGGTGAAACCTAGGTAGGTTTACCTGGCTCCTTAGGTTTATATATATATATATATATATGTGTGTGTGTATATGTAAGAAAATTTATGGATATAGATCCGACAGTATGAAGAAAAATATACAGAAAAAACAAACAAAAATCTTAATATGCAATTATGCTGTATTAATGTTAATATAAAGTCAACGTCGGACGTTTCGGTCTATTTTAGACCATCATCAGGACATTTTCATTTTCGACGTGATCATATTTAAACGGAACGCAGATCTTATATAAAAATTTCTGTTTTCTGTTATCTGTTTGGATTAGTTGTGCTCTTATGTCCATCGTCTTTTCATGTTGAATTTTATATGTTCTAATGTTAATTATGTTTTATGAAAATGTCCTGATGATGGTCTAAAATAGACCGAAACGTCCGACGTTGACTTTATATTAACATTAATACAGCAGAATTGCATATTAAGATTTTTGTTTGTTTTTTTCTGTATATTTTTCTTCATATATATATATATATATATATATATATATATATATATATCCTGGCTAAAGGGAATTTTTTTCTAATGTCGTGATTCTGAAGATAGTTATTTTTCATCAGTTCCATTGAATAAATGTTCTTAATGTCTGGCAAACTATTCTGCACCAAATCTCGTGCGTTCGAGATTTTGCGTGAGCAAAACTCCATACGCAAAGAAAAAAAAAAGATGACGAATTCATTCAGGTTATTATCTTCCATCTTCAATTTTCGATTTGAAAATCCGCAAAAATTATTTGTTCATTTGTTTTAAGAGACGTATCTCTTTCAAGAAGTCATGAAAGTTGGCAAAATCATTAACGCGAACAAATCATGACGGTTCAGATCTTATATGTTATTCTGTTGGCGCCGCCATATTTGCGTCTTTCAGTTCGCAGTAAAAGAAATCATTCATTATGAGTAATTATAATCATTAAAGAGAGTAAAAGAAGTGCTGTCCTATTTTTTTGGTCGACTTTCTTCTTCTTCTTCTTCTTCTTCTTAATAATAATAATAATAAAAACATGTAAAGATTTCAGCAAACCGATTTGATAAACAGAAAATATTTCATAAAATCAAAAGAATTCAGTAAAACTTGAAGAGACATCTCAGCAAAAGAAAATTTTAAAACTTTTCAAATATAAGGACATGGAAATAAAAATTTTAGAACAGTGGCATTTAAGCGTAGGCCATTTAACAGTAATAATAGCTGTACAATGAAGACTTTCACATATTCATATAACTTTCTTAACGTAATATGTTCACTAATTTTCTAAGGAAAAGCTTTCTTTAATTCGGGTAAGACTTGGAAAAGCGTTGTATGAAACAGAAAATAAGGAAAACATGGATAGTAGTAGTAGCAATAGTAGCAATAATAATAATAATTCTTAAAAATGTGGCACATGGGAACATCAACAATCCTGTTGTAGTTGGAGCCCTAGGAATGGTTCCATTCACCCTCCGCAGGTTTTGAATTCAGTTTTCTTCTCCTAGACCAGTTGCCATCCAAGGCTATAGAACCCAGTCTGTCCTGCTATTTACCGATAGATGGAGGGAGAAGAAGAGGATTCACACCTTTCCCAAGGGTATTAGCACGTAAGTGAATGTAATGGATTCGACTGGAATTCGAACTCGGCTCTCCGATTCCTCAGTCCAAGCCGCTATCCATTAGTGATGGTGTCACGATAAAAACAGCCTTGATAGTCCTAGCGAAGCATCAAGAATTCAGCTATTTGACAAGATTATGAACTACACCAATCAAAGTATTAGCTATGACAGATAAGGAATACTGGAAAGGTGTAGTGAGTTCAATCTCGGCTGAGGCCGCAAGAAGAAGGAATGGTTGAAAAAGATTCCAGTAGACTAATCGTAGGAATTCCTGGAAGTCCATGCCTCAAAGAGATACAAAAAATTGTTCTGACATGTACAGCCCACACGTTACGAAGGGCTTTATCTATGTAATTTTTTTTTTGGAATATGTCAGTGGTCCCTGGGCAACCCGTGTCAAACGCCAGAAATCAAAAGAAATAATAATAATAATAATAATAATAGCTCTAGGACTTTGGAAAAGATTCCAGTAGACTAATTGGGGATTCCTGGAAGTCCATGCCTCAAAGAGATACAAAATTGTTCTGGACCCCACACCTTACGAAGGGCTTTATCTATGTAATTTTTTTTTTTTTTTTTTTTGTCAGTGGAAAGTGTCAACGCCATTTCTAATCAAAAGAAATAAACGCCAAAATAAAGAAAATAAAAATAATAATAATAATAATAATAATAATAATAAAATAAAATATGAACATCATTCAAACCTGGTTATAGTACCTGTAACAATTTTATGAGAGTTTCCAATACACACGGGGAGAACAATCAAAGCTAATAGCCTAGACATCGGGATTAAAGACCACAATTACAGAATGTGTTTTCTTATTGACTTGGCGGTTCCTCTAGACTTTAATGTATCTTCGAAGATCTTAAAAAAACTATCAGAATACAAAGAACTTGAAGTGGAATTCAAAGAAAAGAATATATGGAACATAAGACATCAATAATTCCAGTTGAAGTTGGAGCCCTCGGATTGACTGGAAAAAGTTTCCGATAGATACATTGAAAGGATTCCTGGTACCCCAGGCCTTAAAGAAATACAAAAATGGTACTGAAAAGTACAGTTAGCACCTTTAGAACGATTTATAAATGTAAAGTGTGTCGTCTTAGGTTGTCTTTTTTTTTTTTTTTTTTGCATTAATGTTCAGTGGAAAATATGATGTCATTTATAAACTTAGGTCTCTGGTTGGGACCCGGAAGAAAATGAGTATACAACAGAAATAAAGGAAGTAATAATAATAAATCAAAAGTCCGGTGAAAATTTCACGGTGTCCGTATTTGAATATTCAGAAGAATCTTAATTTTTAAGTCAATGGTTGAGTAAGGTCATGGCGAGTTCTACGACAATAGAATATCTGTAAGTATTCGCCTCTCGCCTCGTTAAATATTTGAGCTTAACAACTTTTAAAAAAATATTGCAATGACAATCATAAATATGACTGTTAGTCAGTATTTTAAGAAGTAAGGGGGTACAAATGATAAGATTTGAAATTGGCAACATTTTTCATTTTACTGGAACAGCCGTTAAAAACTTGTTTTTCTTTCTTTCATTTTCTCAGTGAAATCAAGGGACGTCTTTCCTCTCTTTCCACGAGATCAAAATGAAAATAGAACATTATTCCATAAGTATTGGCAGGAGACATTAAACACATCTTTCTATCTATCTATCTATCTATCTATCTATCTATCTATCTATCTATCTATCGTTTTCCCACTGAAACCAAGTAGTGTCTCTTCCTCTCTTTCCACACGATCAAAATGGAATAGAACATTATTTCTAAAGTATTGGCAAGACATTAAACACATCTATCTATTTCTATCTATCTATCTATCTATCTATCTATCTATCTATCTATCGTTTTTCCCACTGAAACCAAGTAGTGTCTCTTCTCTTTCCACACAATCAAAATGGAATTTATTTATGAAGTATTGGCAAGAGACATTAAACACATCTATCTATCTATTTTTATCTATCTATCTTTTTCTTTTTTTTTTTTTAGTGTCTTTCTCTTTCCACACGATCAAAATCATTATTTCTATCTCATTAAACACTTCTTTCTATCTATGTGTCTGTCTGTCTGTCTATCTATCTATGTTCTTTCTTTCTATTTTTCTCTTTCTGATTCTCTATGTATCTCTCTATTTCTGTCTCTATCTAGTTCTGTCTTTCTCTTCCTGTCTGATTCTACCTCTCTCTCTCTCTCTCTCTCTCTCTCTCTCTCTCTCTCTATATATATATATATATATATATATATATATATATATAATCTTCTTTCATTTTCTGACTGAAAACAAGTAATGTCTTTTCCCCTCTTTCCACGCGATCAAAACAGAATAGTCTATTATTTATTACGTATCGGCAGAGCGTAACGGTCGTGTGAATTAAGCAACAACCTAACGAAGGTGGGGGGACAGATACAATTATTATATAGATAATAATAATAATAATAATAATAACAACAACAAGAACAACAACTCAAAAGACCCGTGAAAATTTCACAGTTTCTCTATTCTCTGATGAATCTTAATTCTTAAGTCAATGGTGGAGAAAGCTCATGGCGAGTTCTATGGCAATACGCAAAAATTCCCCTTTCGTATCGTTAAATATTTGAGCTTAACAACTTTGATAAAATATTACAATAAAAATCATAAATATGAATGCTGGTCGTTATTTTAAGAAGTAAGTGGGTACAAATAAAAAGTTTCGAAATCGAAAACTTTTTTTATTTTACTGGAACAGCCGTTAAAAACTTGTTCTTCTTTCTTTCATTTTCTCAGTGAAATCAAGGGACGTCTTTCCTCTCTTTCCACGAGATCAAAATTAAATAGAACATTATTTCTGAAGTATTGGCAGGAGACGTTAAACACTTCTATCTATCTATCTATCTATCTATCTATCTATCTATCTATCTATCTATCGTTTTCCCACTGAAACCAAGTAGTATCTCTTCCTCTCTTTCCACACGATCAAAATGGAATAGAACATTATTCCATAGGTATTGGCAGGAGACGTTAAACACATCTATCTATCTATCTATCTATCTATCTATCTATCTATCTATCTATCTATCTATCGTTATTTATTTATTTTTTTCATTCTCTTAGTGTAAAGGGTTCCACCCCCTCTTTCCACGCGATCAAAACGGTATAGTCTTTTATTTATGAGGTATTGGCAGGAGATGTTAAACACTTATATCTTCCCTATTACATTCTTTCTTTCTACCCAAATCTCCGTCTTACAAACATTTCTTTGAATAATATTTTTTAAATAATTCGGCAGATTTTATTTCAATTATGGTAAATGGATTTTTGGCGACTGCCGACTTTGATCTTCAAAAGTTTGAAAACAATCTCGGTCATTATCTACTAAGTAAAAATTGGCCGTTTTTATTTGAGTCTTTAAGGATTTACTTGATTCGGGGATATGAAAATATTGGTCGTTTATATTTGAGTTTATAATGATTTAATTGATTCGATGATAGGTATATACGAGTCATTTATAATAGAGTCTGCACATAAAAAGCTAAGGTTCCAACACCGAAATAGAAATACAACTGTGTATGTATGTCTGAATGTACGGATATGTATCAGCGCCTAGCCTCGAATTGCTTATGTGGATGTGTTCGTGTGAACAAAAATGCGTACACCTGTATGTACGTGTGTATGCTTATAATAGTAGCACCTCAAACAAACACAAAAGTAGATTCCACCTCCCACAACCAAACATAGTCAAACAAGAATAAATAGATCCAAATAGATGATCGCAAAAGCGTGATACCCAGGGTCACAAACTGGTATCCATACAACTTATTCTATATATATATATAAAGACATTTTTATGTTTGTGCATTCTTTTTATAGATACAAATATTTAAGTAAATGCTCTGTTAATAATAAACAGTATTAAACAACATTTACTGCCTAAATGTCCGAGAAATTTTTTTCTCTACGGAACCGTCATTTAGCTAGACGTGCCTTTACCGATTTGGCCACGAAGGAGCGTTCGGTTAGTGATGTCTAATTTACTGTCTTTAAACTTCAATCTTCCATGAATCTCTCACGGACATTCATGTCTGCTCATGGCATATCAAAAGTAAAAAAATGACGTCTCACATTATAAAATGGACAAAGTCCGACAATTATTTTAAGAGATTTTTTAAGACAAATGTCTTGAAATAATTGTCGGACTTTGTCCATTTCATAATATATATATATATATATATATATATATATATATATATATATATATATATATGATATCGAACATAGATCGTTGATATTAATAAAATAGTGCTCGATGTAATATGTTTCTCCACTCGGAATTTCATGCACAATGCAATATTCAGATGCTGAATAGAGACTGACCGTTACATAAATTTTAATGAATAAATTTGGTTAACGCAATGTTGGCATAGTCCATATATCATATTTAAAAAATTGCATCATATATATATATATATATATATATGTGTGTGTGTGTGTGTGTGTGTGTGTGTGTGGTGGACTCTCCCGTCGTATTCGACGTATGAGGGTCAAGCAGCTCAGTTCCTAGGAACCGACAGCCCAGACACCAGCACATACGATTTGATTATAGTGGTGAAGGCTTTGTGCAAACCCATCCACACTTTTTGAAGGGCCGAATACAGAGACCGTAGCCTTAAGGTCCCCAAACGACTCTCAGTAGGGTTTGAATTCAGAGTTGTCCATCTCTTCAACCAGTTGCCATCCTTTGGACCATTGGATTCTTAGAAATTATCCAGGTTGCTGGCGCTCAACAATGGGATCCTGAATACTGTGAGTGAAAGCCGGATTCATAACCCCATCAATTAACTTTCATTCTCCAACAGGGGAATTGCATTGCTGGCCCCAGCCTGCACTGTGGATGCGGAAACCTCGAAAACTGTCGAATTTCTTGCCGCAATCACACGGTGAAGCCGGTTTCAAGTCCGCGTCGTTGCTATTTGAATCCGTCAGGTGGGGTGATGTATTCTCCCTCCCTGCTACAACCACCCAGAGGACATTGTCTGTTTGTTGTGATAGTTATATTTGCATTAGTATTCTTGTCTTACCATGATGCTATCTATCTATCTATCTATCTATCTATCTATCTAAGTTTGTTCATCTCTATCTATCTATCTATATATCTATCTATATATCTATCCAACTTTGTTCATATCTATCTATCTATCTAAGTTTGTTCATATCTATCTATCTATCTATCTATCTATCTATCTATCTATCTATCTATCTATCCAAGTTTGTTCATATCTATCTATCTATCTATCTATCTATCTATCTATCTATCTATCTATCCCAGTCTGTATCTATCTATCTATCTATCTATCTATCTTTCTATCTATCCCAGTCTGTATCTATCTATCTATCTATCTATCTATCTATCTTTCTATCTATCTATCTATCTATCTATGTTCATATCTATCTATTTTTCCATCTAACTTAGTCTATTCATATCTATCTATCTATCTATCTATTCTATCTATCTATCTATCTATCTATCTATCTATCTATCTATCTCAGTTTGTTCGTATTCTATCTATCTATCTATCTATCTATCTATCTATCTATCTATCTATCTATCTATCTCAGTTTGTTCTATCTATCTATCTATCTATCTATCTATTTATCTATCTATCTATCTATCTATCTATCTATCTATCTATCTATCTACCCGTTTTTTTGCTGACCATTTTTCCTCTTCTCCAATTCATAGTCACGCCATCGATTCTGAATTCATGGAATTAACTGTGCTTTTAATAGTAAATATTTGAAACGGGATTTGCAGTTATTTACGTAGGTTAATTTGCTTCTTTTTCCGTTTTTGCTTAGGTAGTGAACAGGCACAGCTACGACAATTGGCGGTAAACGTGCTGCAGAAATAGAAAGGAAAAGACATTAGTTACCGGTTCGTGCACCTTTTCCTCCTGAACACCTGAAATCCTCAAGCGATGAATTCAATTGCGTGAATAATCTGGGCTTCGCACGGTCAGACCCATTTTACCCCAATATCTGTACCTCTTGCCCTGTTTCATAAAATATTATTCTCTGCAATAGACACGGTACTTGAACTAATAGATGAACCATTCTCGTAGATTCAAATGGTACAATCAGATGTTTAGACTTCGTTGTCAGTTTGAATATTAATAAACAAGCATTTAATTTCATGCAATATTTAATTTAATCCGTTATTCTTCTTTGTAAGTCAACAAACATTAATATTTCTTAATTTTAACCACTGAACTTGCATTTATTTTCATTTAAAGAGTAAATATATATATATATATATATATATATATATATATATATATATATATATATATATATATATATATATATATATATATATTGGACTATTTGGACGTGTGGGTGTGCAGTGTGAGGCCCGGATTGATGAATCGCAGAGGTGAGTTCGAATTCAGTCGGATTCATTGCATTCATTTATTAAATTCAAATCCGGCCTGGAGAGGGTTGGGCTCCGTCAGGTTACCTTAACCAAGGACCATCCTATGTTGTGGCAATATATATATATATATATATATATATATATATTGTTGTGTCGTGGCACAATAGTAAAAATAAGAAAATCAAGTCGACGTTGGTTTAAAGAACAAGTGTATTTAACATCACAGATACAAAGGTAGGAAACGGGTACTACTCGGCTAGGCAGTTGTAGTACTGTCGCTGCTTACACCGGTAGGTATTACTGGCACTATATATAGTGAGAACCGGTGTAATTCCCTTGTGTTAGAGGCCGGTGCAACATATATATATATATATATATATATATATATATATATATATATATATATATATAATTATTTATTTAAAATATGATTCCAAATCGCTACATAAGAGGTCTCATGTTTCAAAACAAAAGCCGAAAACTTCAATATAATCCTTTAAATTAAATTGAGTTGAAAGTAAAATGGGCTCCGTTCCATCTTCAAGCGAAATTTTTGTTGGAATAACGTATATCTGAAATTTACTTGTTTTAAAATTGAAATCAAAATCCCCATGGTAACAGCTATGGTGAATTGTCTAAATTGGAAAAAAAAAAATTCTTTCAAAATTTTTAAACTACCAGTGTCCCCTGTTTATGCCCATGTATAGTCAAAACGATGTCAACAAACTCAGTCTGATGAAGTCCAAACGGATCAAATGCGTTACAGAAACTTTTTCGAATTTATCAGGCATCTTTTCTTTCAATATATATATATTACCCCCCCACACACACACCATATTAATTCTGTTATTTACCATTTCAAATGTACTTGTGGAAGCGACTACATAGGTAGAACGACACAGCGTTTGGACGTTAAAATTAAACAATACGTATCTGCTATAATACTGAATAAAAAGTTTTCGTTGGGCGATGCCGTTCGTAACATGTATGGGTCTTCGATTGCGGATCACTGTATAAAGAATCCCACTTGTGCAATGGATTTCAGTGTGAACTGGTTTTCCGTTTGGGACAGATCACACTCATTATTCCATCTTAAGGCGTTGGAGACGCTGTACATCAGGTCCAGGCGACCTGCTCTTTGTGAACAAAAAGATTGTTTGCTTGGAATTGCTGTGCTGCGCTTCTAGCATCTTTGTTGCTATAATTTTTATAATTATAAATTTTTTTTCTCCCTGTCCATTCATCACGTCATCCATGACAGACTTTCTTTTTTTTTCTCTTCATAATTTGTGTTCCCCGTTGACAGTTCTGATGAGAGGGATTGAAACCGGTCGACTGGTGAGTGTTTTTGTTTTTATTTTAAATCTATCATGGCCTATAATATAAAATTTCTTGCTTTTTATGCCATAATATATATATATATATATATATATATATATATATATATGCATGTATGTATGTATGTGTGTATATATATATATATATATATATATATATATATATATATATATATATATATATATATAATGCGAATGTCAGTGTGTCACACGTTTTTTTAACTTTACTCCTAGAGGCCGTAGCCCAACATATCATACTATTGTGGGGTCAGGCTGACTCCGTGGGCAAAGTAAAGAAAAAATTCCGAGTCAGATCCAGACCCCACAATCCTGAAATTTTGGATTCCCAAGTTTTCATTCCTGCGATTGCTTTCGGCGAATTTTTTTACATGACTTTTTTTGCGACGAATTTTTTTTGCACAATAACAAATTTAATAACTTGAAAATGAATTTGGAAATAATCGAAATTAATTGCGAAATCTAGCGAAAGACACCTATGAAATAGAAATAATTGTTTGTACGGAAAGTAAGGACCTACGTACATCAAATTGTCTTTAGATTATGTGGCGGCAGAAGAAATATCGTTGAACTTTTAAAAGGTAAGTTTACATATTAATGGAATACTTAAATGCAGCGATTAATTTTGAGTTGTTCTGTAGTTTTATATCTACTTCTCCCCCAGATTGTCATGAAGCCCCAATCAAGAGTCCTCTGTAGCCGATAGGTTGGCTTTTAAGCTAGTATATATATATATATATATATATATATATATATATATATATATATATATATATATATATATATAAAAAAAAATATGTTGTAGTGGTTCCAACGAGAGAAAAGTATGTATATTAAAAAGAAGAGAAGAGAGGTGCCAAAACGTTTTTTGGTTGTAATGTGGATTTATTTAGAAAAAAATATTATGCTTTGTTTTACATCATATTACGACACGTGTTTCTGGTCTCGCGACCGTCTTCAGGTAAAAGCGGAGATTTCCACATATTAAAAATAATTAATTTTTTCTTTATGTTCAATCTTAAATATTCTCGATATGAGACATTCTCTGTTTGTGTGTTGGTAATCCGAATTTCTTTCTTGAATTGGCAATGAAGAGTTCTGCGCGAAGGGTCATAAAACAATTAAGGTTGGTCTAGCGAGATGATGAATTAGTTATCGGCATTTTATCTTTTAGTGTTTTACTGACTCCTATGTATTCTTGGATCTGTTTCCATTTTGTGTGTTTCTGTCAGAATGCGTGTATATATGCGTGCGTATATTCCCCCTCCATACATATACTGTCTTACTACGAGGAATTAGTAAACTTATTTGTACATATACACGCATACACACACATACGCACATACACACTATCCCACCACAAGGAATCAGTACACACACACACATATACGATCATACTTCCCAAGCTATATTTAATTATTTTTAATAATATGTGAAAATCTCCGCTTTTACCTGAAGACGGTCGCGAGACCAGAAACACGTGTCGTAAAATTATGTAAAACAAAGCATAATATTTTTTTCTAAATAAATCCACATTACAACCAAAAAAACGTTTGCGGCACCTCTCTCTTCTTTTAATATATATATATATTATATTTATATATATATATATATATATATATATATATATATATATATATATATATTCCGTAATTTCTGGAAAATAATACTCACCCGTAAATAATACGCACCAAACAAATGATCCCAAAATTAAGAAAGCGGCTAAAATAATGTTGAAAATTACCATACGGTTTTTCTTGATAAATGTGACATTTTATTTTACCGCCAAAATGTTGTCAAGACGTGCGAGTTATAATGCACATTTTAAACAAAAAGCAATAGAATTAGCAGAAAGAATAGGAAACACAGCTGCAGCTAGAGAATATGAGTTGAATGAGTCTAACACGTTTATGGAGAAAGAATAAAAACGAACTAAAAAAATGTAAATCAAATGCCAAAGCTATAGGCAGAGGAAGAAAAGCTCAATATCCAGATATGGAACAAAGTTTAATTGAATTTGTGAACGAAAGATCAAGTGAATGTTTCATAAGTACTTTGTTTAGTGACAATTTAGTTATTGATTCTATAATAGAAAGTGATGATGATGATGATGGTAAAAATTAAAATCTCAATAAATAAACTTGATATCCTCTTTTCTTCGAAATTCGCCTTTTTATAGATTTTTAAAAAAATTTTTTCTCCAAATAAAAAAATTCGGTTACTGATAAACATAAATTTATTGAGAAAAAACATTACAATTATTATTGTTGGATTTAAAATGAAAATTGGGATAATATCTTTCTTATTGCAGAACAACAAGTACGTATTTATTATTATAAATCAATAACGAAAAAATATTCTTGTTTAAACCTATTTATAATACGCATTCCTACTATCACCTGTAATTTACAGTAAAAAATGCGTATTATTTTCGAGAAATTACGGTATATCGGCTAATTATTTTGAAAATTCAGTGTCACAAGAGTAATACTAGTAGTAATAGTAACATATATGTATGGGCATAAATAACTTGCAGTTATGGTAAATTTGGGCAAGAAGTTGTTGTTCTGATATTCCCCGGTGAAATTTGATAATGAACTTGAAGCAAAGAATCCGGGTATCATTATTCTACTGAAGGAAGACAACCAGCGTTAAATCATCGATATAACGAAAGCCAGGGGAAGTCATAAAGAAGAGTTGGTCATGTTGTCGTGGGCACCTTTGGAATTGTAACAAATTCCAAAAAGAGAGTCTGAGTAAAATTTGTGTGACAATGATTATAATTAATAATCTCCATAGAGTTCTTTATCAGTTACCAGGGATTACGGTGACATAACGTTGAAAACAACCCTTCCTGTACAATCACCGAACATAGGTAACGGCGAGCCTTGATGGTCGAGTTGCTGTAATCTTGGATGCATGGGTGATGCAATGGATAATGTCTCGGAATTTTTAATCGGAGAGCCGACTTCCAATTCTAGTTGGAT